TTCACGCACTAGTGCGTAAAGTGAAAATTCTTCACGCACTAGTGCGTAAAATATTTGTCGAAATTTATTTTTTTACACATATTTGATTGGTAGTAGAAAATTTTTTGTATGCAATACGTGCGTAAAGTACCTTTGCACTAGTGCGTAAAGTAACAAAATTTAACACACTAGTGCGTGAAATTTATTTTTTCATACATATTTTATTGGTAGTAGAAATTTTTTTTATGCAAAACGTGTGTAAAGCACCTTTTTTCACTCATGTTATTGTCGCACTCGCCTTCGGCTCGTTAAAAAAGGTTCACTTTACACACTTGTTGCATAAATAGCTATTTTATGCCACTCCTATTACAGAAAAAAACGTCATAAGTATTGCCGATATTGTTTATATGGTTGTGTTTCAAGCACATTGTGTTGATTAGCGAGTAGGTACATCCGTCCTATAGAGTGGTAAATAAAAAGTGCTTCGATCACGTGAACACAAGGCAGAAGGCAGGAACTCGAAAGTTTAATTTAGCCAGCAGATATTCTCATGTTACGGGTAGAATGAATAATTGTATGCAAAAATAAAGTATGAACCCCATAATAGGGACACCAAACGATCGGAGCGTACTCCAGTTTGGACATTTGCTTATCAAAAACAACGCCTAATATTTTTAGAGATCTAAAAATATTAGGTCGCGCCAGAATATCCCCATTAATGCCATAGTCAAATTCGAGAGTGGAGGTCTTAGACGTCAAAGACACAACGTTAAACTTAGAAATATTAAGATCCAACCTGTTCATGATGCACCAATCCAGGGAGGGGCCATGGGGGCCATGGCCCCCCCTAGATAAGAAAAAATAATTTAAAAAATCAACATTAAATCGACCAATTTTTCCGGGTTTACCAGGGCCCGTATATAACAGAATTATTTCATGGCGTCATTTAATCACGGACCTCTAGCCTATTCTATTTGTATGAATCTACAGGGTGGCCCGTTTAAGAGGGGCCTATACCTTATCTCGAAATCTACAAGGGCTGTAAAAAAAAAATTAAATACACAAGTTGTTTCTGATAAAATTATCTACAATGTTTTGGCATTTTTTTTTGTTGTCACTCTACTATCCGTGCGTTCGTTATTTTGGTCTGAGTTCTCCGAGCTTGACTTTACCGTTCGTTTATTAAAAAGGTGTACTCGGTGCAGCCTCATTCGCGTTCGTTTATTAAAATTTCTGGCGCTTTTATACAGCGTTCAACTGCTCTGTTCGCTCGCTGGTTACGTGATTACGGCTCCGCTCTGCTCTTTGAGCAATATACCGAACGCAAGGTATATACAGGGTGGACAAATAAAATTTATTTTTTTTAAAATGGAACACCATATATTTTAATACATTTTCACATAGCCCTTTAAAAATGTATTAAAATATAAGGTGTTCCATAAAAAAAATGTTATTTCATTTGTCCATTCTGTGTATAATAGAGTGACAGCAAAAACTATACAAAAAAATGGTAAATAGATAATTTTATTAGAAACAACTTTTGTATTTAAGTTTTTTTTTTACAGCCCTTGTATATTTCGAGATAAGGTATAGGCCCCTCTTAAACGGGCCACCCTGTACAGGGTGTCTGGTTATAATTTGACACCCCACCTGCAGCCTTTACCTTTACAGGTAGATGATAGGTGTGAACACAAAAGTTGTGCAGTTTTAACAAAATTTTCAGAATCCATCGTCAAAAACAAAAGTTTATTGTAAGAAATTTGAAAGTTATCGTACTTTCAACTTTTTTAAATGAAATGCCCTATATTTGCTTCTAATATATAGTTTGTCTATATTTGTTTGCACCGCCTTCAACATATTTGGCTCTAAAAATTGGAAAAATACTATCCTACTGACGATTTTGTGAACCATTCTGAAGAAAACTTCAGGTAAAATTTGAGGCACTTGATTTCTATGATGGTATTTTAAAAATTTTTGAAGCCAAATATGGTGGAGACGGTTCAACTAAATATAGAGAAACTATATATTTTTGTAATCGGAAAAATTATGTTCTTCAAGAATATGAAATCAAATACAGGGTGTCCCACGGTGGGTGGCTTATTAGACGTTTATGGAAAACTAAAAAGCGGATCATTATGAAAATTTGGCAACCGGGATAAACGACCATAATCTACACTCTAAAAATATTTTTGTTTATGCGGTGTTGCCGCTTCTACTCTAAACCAGTGGCAACATCGCTATTTTAAATGGAACACCCTGTAAGTGATTGCACATTTGGATTCTACGTAAAATTCTGAGCAGATTTCATGTGGTATAGCCTATACCTAAGTTCAACTGTTTTGGAAATATCAACAGTTGAAAATTGACTTTTTGCAACTTTGAGAGGCTGTAAAGCCTGAACGGTTAATTCTAGAGGAAAACTGATTTTACATTCCTATCTTAGATTTTTATGAACTATCATTTGACACCAAATTTAATCCATGATTAAAAATTCCAATTAAATTTAATCTCCGGTTAAATTCAAAGTTGGTGTCAAATGATAGTTCATAAAAATCTAAGACAGGAATGTAAAATCGGTTTTCCTCTAAAATCAACCGTTGAGGTTTTACAGCCTGTCAAAGTTGCAAAAAGTCAATTTTCAACTGTCGATATTTCCAAAACAGTTGAACTTAGGTATATCACATGAAATCTGCTCAGAATTTTACGTAGAATCCAAATATGCAATCACATACAGGGTATTCCATTTAAAATAGCGATGGTGCCACTATTTAGAGTAGAAGCGGCAACACCGCATAAACAAAAATATTTTTAAAGTGTAGATTATGATCGTTTATCCCGGTTGCCAAATTTTCAACATGATCCGCTTTTTAGTTCTCCATAAACGTCTAATACGCCATCCACCTTGGCACACCCTGTATAGGGCATTCTGTTTGAAAAAAGTTGAAAGTACGCAAAATTTCAAATTTCTGACAATAATTTAGCTAAAACTGCTCCACTTTTGTGTTTACACCTATCATCTACGTATAAAGGTGGGGTGTCAAATTATAACTAGACACCCTGTACCTTCCAATATTTTTTATTGCCCCCCCCCTCCCTTAATTTGGGTCTGGATCCGCGCCTGCACCAATCATTCATCAAATCTAAATATTGCTGCATCAGCAACCGACAATCGTCCACAGAAGAAATAATGGATAATAGTTCAACGTCAGCAGCATACAGCGAACAGGGAACAGTGAGATTTTCAACAATATCATTGATAAATAAGGTAAAAAACAATGGTCCCAGGACTGAACCCTGTAGAATTCCAGATGGTGCAAGATAATCAATCGACCAAGCCCCACCATAAGTCACAAGTTGACTTTCTATTCGTCAAATAGGATGTAAATAATGAAAGTAAATTATTAGAGAAATTATAAAATTGAGTGAGTTACGCAACAGTATACTGTAGTCCAGTCGATCGAAAGCCTTCAAAAAATCTATACAAACAACGTCTGTCTGCTTACGCCGATCAATTCCCTGTGCGACAATTTCAGTAATACATGCCAGATTTGTGACAGTTGAACGGCCCTTGACAAATCCATACTGAAGCGGAGTTATTAGATTTTTACCCTAGAGTATATAACGTCATGTAACCGTATCACAAACACTTTGGAAAAGTTAGGAACCAAAGAAATTGGTCTAAAGTTTAAAATATTCAGTCTGTTTCCTTTTTTAAATACAGGACATACTTTCAAGCATTTCAAAACCTTGGGTATTTCCGACATACCGAAACACTTAATACAAATCACGGACAACGGATGCGCAAAAACTTCAGCACAATCCCTGACGATTAATGCTGGAACATCATCAGGAGGACCGGTAGTCAACTCCGCCCTGATCCGTTTATTTGCATCAAAAACCTCCGTCTCACTAAAACTAGTAATGTGAATAGCTGTATTAAAAAAAGAGTGGTAGTGCAGTAAAAGGTAAACCAGAGGATGCATGATAGGACCGGCTACAAAAATCAGCGAATGCATTAACGATCTCATTCACAGTGGTAAAAGTTGAGTTTTCGAATTGTATACCCGTACCCACACCAGTCCATCCCCTCTTAGAACCCACAAAGTCCCAGAATTTACTCGGGTCATCAGCTATACCACCTTCGATCAGACGCATATAATTCCTGTAGAAGTCGTCAACATCCACCTTGACTTGACGTCTTAACCGGGAAAAATCCTCATAGTCTGATATACCACCCGCTGCTTTATATTTCCTCCAGGATATAGACTTAAGCCTTAAGCCCTATGTTACGTTTATTATCATTATGAAACCAAGGCGGAAATATTCGGCAATTTGATAATCCAGATTATAATCGGGGATAATACCACGAGAGCTTCAAAATTACCGATAATTTTTCACGATTGCGTGTTTTCTATAATTTCACGAGTCCGTAGGACGAGTGAAATTTGCAGAGAAAATACGCATGAGGGAAAAATTATCTGGTTCATTTTAAAGCTCAAGTGGTATTTAAAGGATTATTTCACGTATGATAATGCAAAAAATATGGAAATAAATATGTATTAAACGATTTGAACATCTTAACAATCAATACAAATAAATGGTTGCTATCAAGAACCGTTTATTTGTATCAAAAATTAGCATGACAACCATATATACAATAACATGGGAGAATTATCGCTGTAATTCTCTCTAGTTAAACAAATGGAAGAGAGAATTTTCGGTGTAATTCTAAAAATCGTCACTTGTCTTATGGGATTTCTAACACATGAGTGGAATAATCTACATAATCCTCTTGGTACATAAATAGCTACAATAAACAAGTTGAATTGTCACGTGATATTGTCAAATATCACGGTTACACTTCCTTATAGTATCCGGAAATTTTTGTTATTCTAAGCTTTCGGGAGATTCCAATAATACGAATTCTGAGATTAACGCCACGAACCTCGACAACAACGTCATAAGAATTAGACATCTTCTATTGTACCATTTTCTTAAGTTTTATATTGTCATTGATGTTTTTACAACCCACCCTCCTTGACCGTTCTCAATTTGGATAATTGAATGTTAGAATCAGCAGGACATATTTCTCTTACCACATCTGATTTAGTTCTGGAACAGTCTTGCTTATTATCCTTTGGTTTGATTATTATTTCAGGCTGAGCCTTATTACTGGCAATTTGGGCATAGATAAGCTTCTTTGTAGCAGAAGGAGAAGTAGAAGAACCAGGATGTTGTTTGGCTAGAGCAGGCTGAGGTTTGGATTCAACTGACTTCAAAAAGTTTAAACGTGGCTTTTAAGTCAGAAATGGCATCCTAAACCTGTTCCTTAATAAGGGTTTCAACATCATATGATTAACGCAAATAAATGAATTAGCGCAGTCCTCGGACTTCACTGTTCAATAAATCGGAAAGGTCATCGGTATTGGCAACACAATTGGTGTGAAATTGTTTTTTGCAGGTATACAGCAAAAAATACCCGGTCGTCTTGAGTTTATTGAATTACTGCAGGATCCACAAATAATAATCACTTCTCTGTTGACTGAATCAAATGCTTTCACTAAATATATGCCATGTATAGAGGGCGATTTTGTTCCCTGGATCAGTCTTGCATTTGCATGGAGGCATCTCTAAGTTCGTCAGTGATCCAATTCTTGAAAAATATCGCATACGAAATTTGACTGACAGCCACAGAACATATCACCTCTAGAAAAGTATCTGCAATGTTATGTACCGGTTATGAATTACAGCGCCATCGTTGACTGAAAACCCAACTAATCGAGCATTCTTGACAAAAGGGCGAATTGATTTTTTTCATATATTTTTAAATAATTTTTAATGTTCAACTGCATTTGGCTTGCTGACTCCTTTTAGCTCTTTTCGCCTCATTTTTTTGAAAACTATGACTGGCAGGAAGTTTCCGATGTCGAACATAGTGCAAAAAGAGTTAGTAAGTTAGCAAGAGACACGCAGCTATAGGTAGATCGCAAAGTAAATACGAATTATAAATACAAATACGAACGAAACGAAACAAACGAGTAAATACAAAAAAATACGAACAAAAATTAGGGTTTTTTTCAACCAAAACTTTTTGAATTTTCACTTTAACGCGCGTGGGGACCATGGTTCATAGTTCACAACAACACAATTTAAAAATTCAAATTTTGACTTTTAAAATGACAAAATAAATGACAAAACCAACCAACACAAATCACTTTCCACACCACAGATACCTGTAAATTTCTCTTATCTCCCGACAGTGTCGCCATCGTTGAATGAAAACCTAACTAAAAACCTTCGTCGCGATTCTCCCATTTGAGATATTTTTCTATAGATGATATGTTCTGTGCTGACAGCAATGTAAATTAAATGGGAAGCGTTCGAAATCATATCAAATTTCGTATTAATGAAGCATGGTTTTTCTCATAAGCGGAAGCGTCCAACGGTAATTTTAAATTCGTGATATTTGAGGCTTGATTGGATGAGATCATTAATGAACAAAATTTGAAATTTTATTTTTGGGAACCTGGTCAATGAAACCACCTTTCAATAATTCTTGAATAACTGTGTCGCAATGTTGCCAATTTTTACCTCAACTTATCAAGTCGTCTTTTAGCTATCGAAAAGCTACTGGGTTATGCAGGTTGATCTTCCACTTAAGGCAGAACAATCGTATCAGCCTAATTCATTTACAGTAGCGGTGTACTTTAAGTGAGCCATGTTAGGTGAATCTGCTTCTTTCTCAGATTAGGGCGTAACAGGGTTCGTAATTCCTGATACATCAAGTTTACAATGGTTTGAGACATCTTAATCTTGAGTATTGCAGAACATTGTTATTATCACTATTAATCAGATAGATTGACTTAGCCGATACTTGGAAATCCATCACAAATTTTCAAGGAAACAAAAAAAAATTATAGATTTCCACTTTTTTGTTTACGAGATGCTGTAACAGCACACAATGCCTTCTTTACACGGAAAAAAATTAATATCCATCGTTCAATAATCATTTAAGAAAATAAATGTGGATTATGACGTTCATGATTACAATTTGCATTTTTAAAATGGGTTATAATCATATATTATATCACAAGAGCTTTAAATTTATCGATTAAACTATCCAACATGTTTTGAGCATGATTTTGCTTGGAAAATAGTTGAATGCACAATAACTTAATAAAAGTTATTGTGCATGAAACTATTTGCCAAAAAGCAAAATTATGCAAAAAATATTTGGAGTTCTATTTATTATAAAATGTCAGAATATTTCTATCAAAATTCTGTCAAAAAAGGTAAACAAAAATTTAATCGCTGATAAACAAGGTCTTGTGAAATAATCACTTATTTAAACAAAATTCATTCAAAAAATGACGTTGTTTGATGGGTCTATTTTATAATGAATGAAATAATCGTTATTATTTATCGTTATCGTTGATAAGGATGTAACTAACAAAATTACCGTTATTCAATTCTGGCTTAAGATTCTTTTTCTTATCAGATTCTCCAACGATAAATCTATAGTTGAAGGCATATAAACAAAGCTTCCCAACATCAAATGCATCATGTCCAAAAACGGTAAAAGAAAATGTCAAGGCAAACGTATAAACCAGACACCTTGTGGTAATAGTATTAAATAAAATATGACTCGGTTTAAGTTTACGACATGTCCAAAGCTAACCGTGGTTTCTTGGCGTTATCGCCGGTGGCATGACACCCAGTTATAAACGATCCTGGACTAAATGTAAGATGCAAATTTCAAGCGAGCATAATATCGAACATCTACAGAGAATAGTGATTAATTAAGGTAATGGATTTAAATACCTACTAGTCACTCATGAAGCTGTCGAGGACCAAAGGACAGTGAGCGTTAAATTATGGCAATAACAAATGGGGCAGAAGAAACATTGCCTCGTAGAATTTTAGATACGGACACAGACCTGTTCTTTCTGGATTAGTTTTGATAATCACCCAAATACCTTTATCTCGATGATTAGGTATATTTGTATTGAATCATAAAAGTAAAGGTAAGTATTTCAATTTAACTCCATTTTTTAAAAGATATGAAAAATAATAATAAATAGTTTATTTTGCAAATACAAGGTTTACAAAAATGGGTTTTTTACAATTTATAAGAAATTGGTTCACCACAATGTCAATTTGGAAATACGGAAGTACCTAACCATAAAAAAATATACATCACTAAAAACTTGGAAGCAAATATGGTGGTAATGAGAGACAAAGAAGAAAAAAAAAGGAAAAACGGAAAGAAAAGTCTCACAATCACCATTAAGAGTTTTGGTAACTATATGGTTTCTAAAAATTGGTAAACTTAAAGCCTTGATATCCGCTGTTAACTTAATGTAAATGTTTGCTGCTTTGAAAGAAGAACTGTTTTAAAAAGTTCGGAACTATGGAAGGGGATTGTTAAAGAAGCTGGTGCATGTCTAAGTTCCCTCGCATGGGCCATATTCCGGAATTCTATCTTTTCATTCAAATGTCTGAGTTGTTTGTCCAAAATCACCTTGTGTATGAAAATGCAGAGATGCACCTATCTTCTTTCATTCATACTCAGCCACTGAATGTCCTTCAAGCATGAGAGATATGGTTTCTTCGTAGGATTTGTAATCCGAAACGAACGCAAGAATTCTGAATTTTTTTGTAGCCTTCTTGCATCTTAAGCACGTAAACACGGACCATAAACAGTGTCGCAGTAGTCTGATTTGGAGAGATCTAAAGAATCGCACAGTCTTAAATTTGCACTTTGGGGAAGATAGTTTTTTAAATTATGGAGTCCTTTCAATGTGAGAAAAAAAGACCTACTTAGGGACACTTGTTTTGCATAGTTCAGTTTTTTGTCCATGATAAGACCCAACTTTCACTGTATATCTTAATGCTTTACCGTTCAAGGTAAACTGACCAGCCAAGATTTCTTTCACATTCCTTCTATCTTCAAACACAATGGCATCAGTTTTAGACACATTAACTTTAAGACCGTCCATATTTGTTATTTGCTCATTGGATTAAACTTCCCAAATCTTCGTTGATTGAACTAATTGCCTTGTCGATCTCTTGAAAGTTAAAATCATACATAAGTCATCTGCGTAACAATAAACTTTACAATACTTTATGCTGCGTTTCAAGTCTATCAGGAACACATTGAACAGCAAAGGACCTAAAATTGAACCCTGTGGTACTCCGTTCTGCACAACCAATTCCTGGGACAGTGCTGGGCCAGTTTTGCTTCTTAATTCGACAGTTTGGTGTCTGTTAAACAAGTAATTCTTAAACCATTCCAAAGGTATATCCTGAACACGAAAGCTTCGAGAGCAGAAGATCGTGATTGATATTATTAAATGCTTTGGACATGTCTAGAAGGATAAGGATGATTATTCGATTCCTGTCCAAAGAGGTCAATATGCCGTCATTTATCTTTAACAATGCCGTGCTGGTACTGGTATCTAAATCCTGAATGTTCATCAGGCAATATGTTGTTTTCTTAAACAAATGACGAAAGTTTCTGATGCCCAAGTTTTTCAAGTACCTTTGAACCAGACGGCAAAATGCTGATGAGGCGAAGGTTGCGAGAATGAGCAAAGGAAAAGAAATTATCAAGGCGAGCAAAGTAGCATACTTCGATCATATTATGCTTCATGGAGATTTAAGAAGGCAAAATGGAAGATGGAACTGGAAGAAGACGTGCATACATCATGGCTTAAGAATCTGAAATCGTATGGGAAATCAAATCGTCCACAAAATCTCTTAATTTGTGTCAGCTCGGTTAATGAAAAATTTGTCTTGTCGGGCCTTTATGCTTAAATTAATTAATTATAAGCTAGTATAAATAATAGCCAATGGGTCAAAATATTCTAAATAATTGCCAGTAAATATAATTAATATTAAAATGAATGAATAAACATATTAATATTAATTAAAATACATATTCCCAATACGTATATTTATTTACGCAATTGAAAACTGAATATTGAGTTAATTATGTATAATTTTTCCCATAAAAAAGTCATTTTATAGTTCGTCATGAGTGTAAATGAAAAAAGCACTATAATGAACTTATCCACTAGAGAATAAATTTAAATATTTATTTAATGGGTCCACAAAATTCCGGAAGCTCCAGTTGCAATCAGTTATTTATTGCATTCTATTCAATTGATTAATCGTGGCGCCTAAAGTTTGTCTATGCTGGAATTTTAATAGATACCTGTTTATGCAGAAAATTAATTCAACTAGGTAATTATGTTCAAATATTAGCATAGGT